TGTCTGATGCTATTATTTTGAACACAACTGTATATTATACATTCACATCAGTCCCTAACCCTCAAGGGGCGTACAATCTAAGGTCCCTAACTTACATTCATACATACACATACTAGGGCCATATTTGACAGGATCCAATTAACCTACCAGCATGTCTTTGGAGTGTGGGAGGAAACCCATGTAGGCACAGGGAGAACATGCAAACTTCAGGCACATTGTGGCGTGGCTGGGATTCAAACCAACGACCCTAGTACTCCCAGGCGGAAATAGCTAACCATTTAACCACTGTGCTGCCATAAATCCTGATCTGATAAAATGATATTACTTAGACAGTTTTATCAGTAACAGACCATGGAAAGATTTCCCTTCTAATTCTGTTTCAGTGACGATGGCTACCAGGTCAAATAGAAGGGGTGAATTTCACACAGATAGTATTGAAAACCTGAGAGACTTTCTAACCCTTTAATACTCTATCCAAAACAAACAAACAAACAAACTGCGCATCCAAAACAAACAAAATGTTGGCTTTAGGATGGCCATACATTATACCATTTTCTTCAGAATTTTTCTATAGATTTACCAAAAACCATATAATATGAGTTCAAACCTAAAAAACACTTTCAGTTGTATCCAATTAGGCAGGCCCTTGCACTACATAGTTGAAGGTAAATCTAAAGGAAATTGGGCAGAAATTGGAAATAAGAAATAATAAGAAATTTATATAGTGTATGGCCAGCCTTAGATTCACTTTACATTTACATTAGTGAGGGTTAGTATTTGGGTTGAGCTTGAGGGGTGCCTTAAAGGATGAGTTCACCTTTGGAACATGCTACATGTTCCAGCAGTTTTTAGGGTGGAACACGTAACATGTTCCCATGGCCACAGCCGCGTGCCCGCCACCCCCCCCTCCCTCTGACAGATAGTACGGGGAGAACGTTTTCCCACACTATCTGTCAGATTTGAAATCAGCGCGCCCATGTGGGGCTCTGCCTACACATGGCTGCGTCACTCATTCCCAATGTTCTGTGAATGAATGCCTACAAGTCCCGAGTGGGCTTGTAGTTTTCAATGGACTACCACTGTGCTGTGGAGCGCTGTGGCAGTTCATTGAAGCTTCCTGTCAGTATATCTGCTTGACCGTACATCCCGTATCGCAAGCAGATATTCTGAGAGGTCTGCAGGAGACCTGCATGGTATCAGTGATCTACTGATCGCTGGTGCAATGCTTTCCAGGCTCCTTTGGACAAAAATAATAAATGCACATTTTTTTTACTGGAAAAAAATGTGCATTTATTATTTTTGTCCAAAATGTGAACTTGTATTATCCTTTAAGGTAGGGCATTGCTCTCTGTCCTGGTAGCTCTACACCAAAAAATATCAGCATTCATCTCCCCAATCTGAAAGCTAATGTATTAAATACTGTATTTCATACTTATCAAGAATGAAGATAATTCTGATTCATCTGTTATCATGGGAGCAATTTGTTTTCTACATCTGTTTTCTTCCAGTCCAGTAAGCCTGCTGAAGGACTGTGTGAACATGCTATCTTTCCCTTCTGCCAAATCTAAAGTGGCTGATAACATAATTCATGAGGCTGGGTTTTGACTTGTGAACTCCAAATCAGCAGTTAAACAAGAACTGCAAATTCCTTTGGTATTCCTCAGCCTTGCACACAGTTCAAGGCACCCAGTGCCAGGATACCGTAGAGTGTTTTTGTTCAATTTGTAGGCTCATTCCGTTTTCGGTAAACAGAGTGTGCTTTACTACCGAAAAGCATGGTCTCATCTGTCCACAAGACGTTTTCCAGAAGGCTCTTACTCAAGTACATGCTCACATCAGAATATTTGGATGCTGGAACATGGTCTGTATTCTGCACACAGGAAATTTAGCGTAATCTATTTTTCCTGATATACAGAAAAAGAACTTGATATTTTTCCTGAAAATGATTACAAAGGCAAAAAAGTACTTGTAACACATGTAGTACCACTAGTTGTAAACATTTCAGATGTCAGTTAGTTAAACCACACAACAAAACATAACTCTTGTTTCTCAATAGCTGACACCTCTCACCCGGTGTTTACCACTCTTCCATTTGCAAACATGCTGCATCTAATCTGGAAATGTTAGGATTTCAATGGAGGTTTAGATCTGGGCTCATTGCTGGCCACTTCAGAAATTTCTCCAGCGCTTTCTTTCCTGAAATATAAAACCCATTTTATTGATGCATATTTGTAAAAATTCATGATGCCTTGCACACAGTGGTTAAGGGTGCAACAATTAACTGTATTTGTATAAAGAAATTAGTAAGTTTGCTGACATTAATTAAAGGGTTATGTCACACTGGGCAATATCCCTAATAGAAAAGTAGTGGATTATTAGATAATTAGCTGAATTATCTATTTAAGCCACTATGCCCAATAAACTTTGGAGGAGATCAGTACAGTAAGGACCCATTCACAATGGTGTGTTAAAGTGTTTACTAAACCCACAACAGTAAAATCAGTCTGTATATGCAGTAAAGCATGGACTGCTTGTTATACTCACTGTGGAACCTAAGGAGTTAATACTCTGCATTGTGTAAAAAGGCTGTATGATGCTGTCTTCTCTGATCCTCCCCTTCGTCTACTGTCCCCAGTCCATCTGCTGATAGTACAGAGCTCTAGGAGTCACTCTGCACATGTTCAGTTTAGTGTATATTGATAGTTTTTTATTCTTTGGAAAGGTGCATGTGATCAGCGCAGGGCCAATCAGCACTGTCCAGACAGAGGTTCAGGGTTATGCAACCTCATAGGACAGTCAGAGCAGAATGAAAACTCCTTCTACAAGATTTAACCAGTGCTCAGCTGGACACTGATAGATGTCACATGACTGCTCTAGCTGCTTATGAGAAAAGGTATTTAGCAGTTTATATTTACTAAAATAATTGCATTTCCATGTTGTGTGTATTGTGGGAGACCAGATATAGTGAATGCAGGGTCCTGGGTTTAGCAACACTTTAAGTTAGAGACTCTGTCACCAGACCACTCATTTCAACAACAATCTTCTGTTCATTTAACATACAAGATTGTATGTACTTAAGGTATTTTATGCATGTTATTACCTGTAAAAGCCTTGCTGTGTACATATCCAATAGAGCCCAAGACACCCACTGGGCACCGCTATCTAGAATGTAATGTCAGCAACCCCAGCAGACTTAGGGCTGTCACATCAGTGACACTCTACAGCACAGGTGTCAAACTGGCGGCCCTCCATCTGTTGTTCAGAGTGGTAGAGAAAAGAAAAGCACTGTGATAATAGGATTTATACAGTGCTGTGACATAACAGATATAAAAAATATAGCTGATTGAGGACAGTGTTCACAGATAACCTTCTCTTTAACCTCTTTGCTCTCTCACTATCCAATTACAGTATTGATCAACCTGTATTGCTTTAGCTGGAGTAAAGAAAAGTAATACCAGGACGTGGCTTTGGTGCAGGGCTCTCTGAATTTAAAAAGTAGTTAAACAAAATGTAAAGTTTCTACTGTGTGTTTAGTTGTATGCTTTCACTTTTGCTCTACAGGTCTTATAGAAGTATACTGAGAGCTACTGTAAACATACAAAAAGCAAGAAGAAAGGTCCAGACTGGTAGGAGGCAAACAAACACGGTGGCAGTCCATATCCTAAAGAACTCAGTATGTACCCATAAAAGAGCTTTGGTCATACTTTTCTCTTAAATTGTTATACTATAATCATGTCATAGTTTTAATATGCCTCTCTGGGACAGCTGTTGTGCTTGCAAAAAGAAGAAATTGCATTTATGTGTGTTTTTAGGTTGCAAAGAGTAACAAATCTAATTTTATCCAAAAAAAGCAGTATTTTTTAATATCTTTTATGGGAGCCGTAAAGTGAGACTATCATGCAGGACAACAAAAGGGTGGAACTAAGAGCGGGAACTTAAAAAACCTTAGTCCCTTAAATATACCATTGAAACTATTTTGTTATCTCTCTTTCATAAGTGGAAAGAATACTTTGTGGACTACAGAAGATCCTCACAAATGTTATGGAGCTGTGAAGGGAGGTGTTCAGTTGGCTTAACCTACTTTCTACACTTTTGCTCCTCCATAGATACAGTACAGATCGGGGGGCATAGTTACAGATGGGGTGCTGTTTTTGCGTGAGTGCTGTTTTGATAGAGTGCTAAGAAGCAGTTGAACACATCAGTCTAATCATGGCTCCCCTGCTTTTCACAGGCAAATGCTGCTATCTGCTTTCTCCACTGTAAACTGCAACAACGCATAGACTCCTATTAATTACAGAACAAATAGTGTATATATATTTTGTCTATGTTGATTAGTTCTTACCTCTAGTTGCACTCTTTTTATGACTGTGGCCTGTGTCTGGTCTGTGTTTGAGAAACATCCCCCCAATTCATGTGATCCTTATCAGTTCCTAATTGGGTGGAGAAGAGTGCTCATTTGACCATCTCCCTATAAATTTAGATCAGCTCATGGGGGGTGATCACAGATCGGGGGGCATAGTCACAGATGGGGTGCTGTTTTTGCGTGAGTGCTGTTTTGATAGAGTGCTAAGAAGCAGATACAACAACAAGAAACTCTACTGCATCCCTTCCTTTAGATTGTAAGCTCCACGAGCAGGGCCCTCCTATTCCTTCTGTACTGAAATGTATTGTAATTGTACTGTCTCCCTTATTGTAAAGCGCTGCGCAAACTGTTGGCGCTATATAAATCTTGTATAATAATAATAATAGATAGACTGCAAGCAAACACCCTGGGAAACATCTCTTACAAGTCTGAGTCCCACTCCGTGTACCTTTTAATATGTCCCCTCTACTCCTCCTTTTCATATTACTATCCTGCGTTCCCAAAATCTCACTTACTGTCAGGGCTCCCAGGTGTGACCAGAGGTGTGTGACTGACGCAGGGAAACCCAGACTTCAGATATGTGATAAACAATATAATTTATTAACACTAACCATACAAACATAAACGCAGTGCAATACTAAAACATAATACAGTGCAAACAAACCAAACCAACCACCCACAGATAACAGTACATACAAGCAAGCGTCGTCAGGCAGGCCGGGTCAATATCAATAGGGCAGGTAGGTACAGGGGGAGCAAGCGGAGATGGGTCGGGGTCACAGGCCAGGTTCAGCAGGTAGCTAGCAGCGTAGTACAGAGGGTCAGGCAGAGGGATGGTCAGGGTCACAAGCCAGGGATCAGAACAGGTAGCAAGCAGCGTGGTACAGAGGGTCAGGCAGAGGGATGGTCAGGAGCGAGCCGGGATCAGAGCAGGAGAAGTCAGCAGTGGTTCAGATCAGGCAGGGTCAGCAAAGGAACAGAAACAGGATGCAGGACAGATACAGGGCCCAGGACAAACACAACACCAAGGCAGAGTCTGCAAGTCTGGCCATCCCTTAAATACACCAGTATCATCAGTTCCAGGTGTTAGCTGGCTGAAAGGTTGAGTCTCTGATTGCTGGGAGCACCCGCTGGCCAGCCCTGGTACTGCAGATCAAAAGGCAGGTGAGTCCCACCATTGCTGGCCAGTCCATTCCTGACACTTACCCTTCTGCTCCACCCCAAAACTTGTACCTCTCACCCTCACTGCTACCATCTCCCTACTACTGCTCTCATTACCTCCTGGTGATACTTTACTCTCTTGCTGACCCAAACACCAGGACTGGAAGGCATGTGCACTCGTGTACATCCTGCTCCCATGTTACTTTCCTCACCCTTCTTCTTCTCCTAACCTCTGGGGATATTTGCCCAAACCCTGGTCCTCCAGTATCTCACCCCCACACCAGGCATCCTCTTTCTTCCGATAATAGCCGCAATCCCCTCAATTTAATATCAGTCCACGTGCTCCCAAAACCACCCTCCCTTTTTCATGTGCGCTCTGGAATGCCCGCTCTGTCTGTAATAAGCTCACCTCTGTTCATGACCTTTTTGTCTCTCGCTCCCTTAACCTACTAGCAATTACAGAAATCTGGCTTCAAGCAGCAGACTCTTCTTCTCCCGTAGCACTTTCCTATGGAGGCCTTCTCTGGACCCACTCACCCAGACCCAGTGGTCGGAAAGGTGGTGGAGTTGGTTTGCTTCTATCCCCACTGAGCACCTTTCAAGTTCTCCCTAATCCTCCCTCTCTATGCTTCTCTTCTTTCAAGACTCACTGCATCCGGCTGTTTTCTCCCATTTCTCTGAGAATTGCAGTGATCTATTGGCCTCCTGGACCCGTGTCCCGCTTTCTTGATTATTTCTCTGCCTGACTACCCTACTTTCTGTCCTCTGAACTACCCACTATCATTCTCGGAGATTTTAACATCCCCATTAATGTCAACAACCCGGCTACATCCCAACTCTTCAACTTAACCTCATCTTTTGCATTAGCACAATGTATACAGTCCTCCACTCACTCTGATGGGAATACATTAGACCTTGTTTTCTCCCATCCCCCTTTCCTCTCTCTAATCACAATCTCATCATCTTCACAGTGTCCTCGTCTTCAAACACCTATCCCTCAAAGCGGCAAACAAGTACCCACAGAAACCTTCACAACTTGAACCCTGCTCTTTTCCACTCTGCAACTGACCAACTCTATGACAGAATCTCTCCCCTGTCCTGCCATGACCTGGCCACTGCTGTCTACAACAGTTCGCTTTCATCCACATTAGACTCACTTGCTCCTCTAACAACACGAAGCAACAGACCCCGACCGTTACAACCTTGGCAGACTGACGACACCAGAAATCTTAAATGATATAGTCGTGCGCTGGAGCGATCATGGCGTAAAACCAGATCTCAACAAGCATTCACCCTATATAAATCTGCTTTCTTAACGTACAATTCCTCCCTTCATGCTGCCAAACAAGCCTACTTTGTCACTCTTATTAATACCTTGTCATCCAGTCCTCATCGTCTCTTCTCTACTTTTAACTCTCTACTTTCTCCACCTCCACCTCCACCCAGTACCTCACTCACTGCTCACGAGATTGCAAATCATTTCAAAAACAAGATTGACGCAATTCGTAGGGGCATCGCCACTGCACAGACATCCATTCCACTTAGCATACCTTATACTAAACCTCCCTCAACACTTTCCTCTTTTGACCTTGCTACTACCGAAGAGCTCACTAAGGTATTCTCAGAAGCCCATCTCACTACCTGCCCCCTGGATCCTGTCCCCTCACAACTACTACGGTCACCCTCTTCTTCCATCCTATGCTCCCTCACTCACATCTTCAATCTTTCCTTCTCTACTTGTGCCCTCCCCTCTAAAGCATGCACACATCACTCCCATACTTAAAAAGCCCTCTCTGGACCCCACCAACCTGCACAACGTAAGACCCATCTCCCTGCTGCCATTTACCTCTAAACTACTAGAACGCTTAGTCTACAATCGCCTGAGCTCCTACCTCACCGACAACAACCTTCTTGACCCTTTACAGCCTGGCTTTTGCTCACTACACTCCACTGAAACTGCCTTACTAAAACTCACTAATGATCTACTAACAGCTAAAACCAATGGCCACTACTCCGTACTCTTACTTCTTGACCTCTCTGCGGCTTTTGATACGGTTGACCATCCCCTCCTCCTCAAAAAACTCCACTCTCTTAGTCTTAGAGACTCTGCTCTCTCCTGGTTCTCCTCCTACCTATCACAGCACTCCTTCAGTGTTACCTATAAAGCTGCCTCCTCCTCTTCACTCCCTCTTTCTGTAAGGGTCCCTCAAGGTTCTGTCCTTGGACCTCTTCTCTTTTCCATCTACACCTCCTCCCTTGGTCACTTGATAAACTCCCATAGCTTTAAATACCATCTCTATGCTGATGACACACAAATCTATCTTTCTACCCCTCACCTCACCCCTTCAGTCTCCTCTCGCATTACTAACCTACTAAGTGACATATCGGCATGGATGTCACTCCACTTCCTCAAGCTCAATCTTTCCAAAACTGAGCTCTTAGTATTCCCCCCAGCCCGTGCCCCCTCCCCTGACTACTCCATCAAGATCAATAACACAATCATCAGTCCCTCCCCTCATGCCAGGGTACTAGGTGTAATCCTAGACTTCCATCTGTCCTTTCAGTCCCAAATCCATTCAATGTCCAAATCTTGTAGACTTCACCTCCGTAACATCTCCAAGATACGCTCATTCCTAACCTCAGAAACCACTAAGCAACTTATTCACTCCCTTGTTATATCTCGCCTTGACTATTGCAACTCCCTCCTCATTGGTCTACCTCATCGCAGGCTATCCCCTCTTCAGTCTATCATGAATGCTGCTGCCAGACTCATCCACCTTACTAACCGTTCTGTATCTGCCACCCCTCTCTGCCAATCCCTCCACTGGCTTCCCATTGCCCAACGGATAAAATTCAAAACATTAACAATAACATATAAAGCCATTTATAACTCTGGCCCAAATTACATCACCGATCTTGTCTCTAAATATCACCCAAACCGTACTCTCCGCTCCTTGAAAGACCTCCTACTCTCTAGCTCCCTTGTCTGCTCCTCCCAAGCTCGTCTCCGGGACTTCTCCAGAGCTTCCCCCATCCTCTGGAACTCTCTACCTCAAATTATCAGACTATCGCCTAATCTGGTCACTTTAGGCGATCTCTGAAAACCCTATCTCTTCAGGGAAGCCTATCCTGCCCTCAGCTAATAATGGAATCTTCTACTCTTCCAACCAGTCCATCCCCCACAGTTACTACCTTTTTTACCACTTGCCCCTCCCTCCTAGATTGTAAGCTCCAAGGAGCAGGGACCTCCTATCCCACTTGTATTGAACTGTATTGTTGCTGTATTGTCTCCCGTTATATTGAGCAAACTGTTGGCGCTATATAAATCCTGTATTATAATAATAATACAGTAAGTGAGCTTTTTCACCATAGGACAGTAGATGTGCTACTGGTGAGATCACCAAATGCCTTTGCTGAACTGTTGTAGAATACATTGTACTGAGGAATACAGCTATCTTGTGAACTAAAGGACGCATAACCGTATACACATAATTTATACTTGCCCAAATTACCGTTTTTGTCTGTTTGAGCACATAACAAAACAGAAACAGTTCATGACATACGAAAGCAATAACAATTACTTTTTTGTTACAGAAATACAGGCGGGATATTGCATGCAGACTCCATGTTGTTACCCTTGTGTATGAATGACATGTAAAAATCTTTCATCATGTCTTTCACTTTACATAGTTCATTAGAGAGGTTGGATTTTAAAGAACAAAAAGTGCCGTTCCACATTTATGTCATAATCTTAGCCTTTATGTTAGAGCCTGTGAAGATTCTCCAGTGGAGAACAGGATCAAGTCGTTCCCTTCACATCTCCTTGCTAAGGTTGCAGGGTCACACCCTTTTTAAAACATAGCCCGGGGCTGCAAAGTTTTCATTGCTGAGAGTTGTACATAACATAAACTGAGGGATAGAAAATATGTCATCAAATACTTTTAAAGGTTAACAGACTGATTAAACTCGGCATACCTTTGACTGTATAATATTTTTTGTGTTTTTTCAAAAGAAGAAATTAGGCGTAAAATGATTCTTTGTAATGTCTGCATTTCACCTCCACGAAGCTCTGCTGGTGAACTTTTTTGACAGGTGGTGATTGTAATAACCTGCTGTGGAAGCTCATGTTTCCTTTGTAGCTTAGTGTATAAATAATGTAGCACATATAAATAACTTGACGATTCTCATTCAACCGGAAAATTATCCTAATCTAGTACCTGCATACATAGTGTTATTGATGGAGAAGATCTGAAGTCTTTCTGTCATTTGAGTGGTTGGAGGCAGGAGAAACCCATCAGCCAGTGGGTAAATGTAAAGAGAGAGCTATGCTATGGCTGTTATACCAAGTACTGGTTATTTCATCATCATTTCTCATATTCATACAATACCAGCATATTACAGAACACACTGACCATTTAAATCATTCCCTGCTCTATGGCAGCTTGCTATCTGATGTCATGCAGACACCACCAAAGCACTAAGTAAACAGAAGCCAGTTACACACAGAGAGAAACTCGGGCACTGTCCGAGGGCCCGGGGTCAGTAGGGGGCCTCATGAGATGCCTCTGGTTCCTTTATCATAGGCTTTTTTAAGTTTGGGCAAGGACACAGGGGCCCCATGATCCTCTATTGCCCGGGGGCCCCATGAGTTGTCAGTCTGCCCCTGGTTACACATATATGCTTGGGCAAAGAAAGTGGGCCTTAACGTACAGCCACTGCACATACTGTATGTGTCCATTGGTTGCTTCCAGCACACTTGCTGAGCTATTTTTGACAACTCTCAAACATGCGACTGCTGTGAAAGCCAATCACAGCTATCACGTGATTGGGAAGCCACTCTGCCTCAAGGCATTAAAGCCACCAAGAGGTGGAGGAAAGGGGTTAACAATGG